CTGCTTGAACAACAAAGAATGCTAAGCCCAATAGCAATGCAATATCAAGCGACTGCGACACAGAATCAGGAACTGGGAAATAATATAACGACACTAAGTAGGGACCATCTGCAGATCCTCCACAAAAGTTACAAAACTCCCATAATACTGAATCTACGTTCAGCATAGGAAAACTGTGACTGTGACAATACACAGGAACCAGTACAAAATTAGGTCAGAAGCTATAGCTCGGGACCTGAGATGTTCAGAGTGTCAATGTGACACACAACCTCAGTACAACGTCGAAAATCACTAAGTCTATACAATGTTCTGTGAACAAAGTTCTACAGAACTAACAAGAATAATGAGACAGACAATCTGTCCAACCAGCAAGCGAGTCTCCAGCAGACTGACTACTTCACGAGAGGTGAGGACACCCCCCCGTCGATCACGTGATAGCTACGTGGACAACTGCAGCTCAGAAGCCGGCAGTATAACGAGCGACAAGCGATAATTACAGTAGTTTGACAATCAAGCCTAACTGAGCACATTTTATATACATCCTAACAACATAAGCTAAATAACAATATAACAGTCAAATAATAATATAAAGTCATACATTTACGATTTAGCTATTATCGCAAATATAAGCAATATAAAATTATATGAAAAGATAATATACATTATATATACATAATAATCATTGTAACCCATTCAGGGGTTGCAACAGTGGCTGACAGTGTGTGTCAGCGAGGTCTGGGTGTTGGTGGCTGACAGTGTGTGTCAGGGAGGTCTGGGTGTTGGTGGCTGACAGTGTGTGTCAGGGAGGTCTGGTTGTTGGTGGCTGACAGTGTGTGTCAGGGAGGTCTGGTTGTTGGTGGCTGACAGTGTGTGTCAGGGAGGTCTGGGTGTTGGTGGCTGACAGTGTGTGTCAGGGAGGTCTGGGTGTTGGTGGCTGACAGTCTGGTCTGTGTCAGGAAGTCCTGGTTGTTGGTGGCTGACAGTCTGGTCTGTGTCAGGAAGTTCTGGTTGTTGGTGGCTGACAGTCTGGTCTGTGTCAGGGACCTCTGGTTGTTGGTGGCTGACAGTCTGGTCTGTGTCAGGGAGGTCTGGGTGTTGGTGGCTGACAGTCTGGTCTGTGTCAGGAAGTCTTGGTTGTTGGTGGCTGACAGTCTGGTCTGTGTCAGGAAGTTCTGGTTGTTGTTGGCTGACAGTCTGGTCTGTGTCAGGAAGTTCTGGTTGTTGTTGGCTGACAGTCTGGTCTGTGTCAGGGACCTCTGGTTGTTGGTGGCTGTCAGTCTGGTCTGTGTCAGGAAGGCCTGGTTCTTGGTGGCTGACAGTCTGGTCTGTGTCAGGAAGGCCTGGATGTTGGTGGCTGTCAGTCTGGTCTGTGTCAGGAAGGCCTGGTTCTTGGTGGCTAACAGTCTGGTCTGTGTCAGGAAGGCCTGGATGTTGGTGGCTGTCAGTCTGGTCTGTGTCAGGAAGGCCTGGTTCTTGGTGGCTGACAGTCTGGTCTGTGTCAGGAAGGCCTGGATGTTGGTGGCTGTCAGTCTGGTCTGTGTCAGGAAGGCCTGGTTCTTGGTGGCTGACTGTCTGGTCTGTGTCAGGAAGGCCTGGTTGTTGGTGGCTGTCAGTCTGGTCTGTGTCAGGAAGGCCTGGTTCTTGGTGGCTGACAGTCTGGTCTGTGTCAGGAAGGCCTGGATGTTGGTGGCTGTCAGTCTGGTCTGTGTCAGGAAGGCCTGGTTCTTGGTGGCTGACAGTCTGGTCTGTGTCAGGAAGGCCTGGATGTTGGTGGCTGTCAGTCTGGTCTGTGTCAGGAAGGCCTGGATGTTGGTGGCTGTCAGTCTGGTCTGTGTCAGGAAGGCCTGGATGTTGGTGGCTGTCAGTCTGGTCTGTGTCAGGAAGGCCTGGATGTTGGTGGCTGTCAGTCTGGTCTGTGTCAGGAAGGCCTGGATGTTGGTGGCTGTCAGTCTGATCTGTGTCAGGAAGGCCTGGATGTTGGTGGCTGTCAGTCTGGTCTGTGTCAGGAAGGCCTGGATGTTGGTGGCTGTCAGTCGGGTCTGTGTCAGGAAGGCCTGGATGTTGGTGGCTGTCAGTCTGGTCTGTGTCAGGAAGGCCTGGATGTTGGTGGCTGTCAGTCTGATCTGTGTCAGGAAGGCCTGGATGTTGGTGGCTGTCAGTCTGGTCTGTGTCAGGAAGGCCTGGATGTTGGTGGCTGTCAGTCGGGTCTGTGTCAGGAAGGCCTGGATGTTGGTGGCTGTCAGTCTGGTCTGTGTCAGGAAGGCCTGGATGTTGGTGGCTGTCAGTCTGGTCTGTGTCAGGAAGGCCTGGTTAAATCATACCCCCGGCCGGGATTGAACCCGCGGTCATAGAGTCTCAAAACTCCAGCTCGTCTCGTTAGCCACTAGACCAGCTAGCCAGGTAGCATTTGTGGTCACAGAGGTGCCTGTGCTAACTTTCCTATGGTGTAGAAATATACCTAGTTGGATGAATCTTATTGTGGCTAGCTGGTCTAGTGGCTAACGCGACGGGCTGGAGTTTTGAGACTCTATGACCGCGGGTTCAATCCCGGCCAGGGTTATGGGTTATTTGCAATCGTGTCATTACGATTTCTTGAGTAAGGCCTGGTTGTTGGTGGCTGACAGTCTGGTCTCTGTCAGGGAGGAGTGATTGTTGTTTGCTGACAGTCTGGTCTGTCAGGGAGGCCTGGTTATTGGTTTCTGACAGTCTGGTCTGTCAGGGAGGCCTGGTTATTGGTTTCTGACAGTCTGGTCTGTCAGGGAGTGCTGGTTGTTGGTGGCTGACAGTCTGGGCTGTCAGGAACCCCAGCTTGCTGATGGCTGTCAGTCATGTCAGTCCCAGTGTTACCTGGCTGCTGATGGCTGTCAGTCAGGCTTGTCCCAGACTGTCATACAGTTCCTCTCCAAAGTGCATTCACCTGTATGATTACGTATAATTTTGTGTATTCTTGTACGGTAGAGTCTTTCGAATGTGATAGGTCATTTTTTATATTTTTCGAACATTCTTAATTACCCAAAGATATTTTTTTTTTTGTTTGTTTTCAGATTTTTAATCACGAGGATTAGCCACCCAGGTTAATCCTAATAAAGTTGTGTACGATCAGAGAATTTATTGGGTTCATAACCCAGGTTAACCCCAATAAAGTTGTGTATGATCTGAGAATTTATTGGGTTCGTAACCCAGGTTAACCCCAATAAAGTCGTGTATGATTGGAGAATTTATTGGGTTCGTAACCCAAGTTAACGCCAATAAAGTTGTGTATGATCGGAGAAGTTATTGGGTTCGCAACCCAGGTTAAACCCAATAAAGTCGTGTATGATTGGAGACTTTATTGGGTTAATTACCCAGGGTAATCCAGTGAACTCGTGTATGATCAGAGACTGGGTTAGCCATCCAGGTTAACCCCAATAGAGTCTGTGTGAGATCAGAGACTCGTTTGTCTTCCACTGGGGTCTTTTAGTCTTATACCCCAAGATGACCCCACAACAGGTGACTAACACCCAGGTACCTGCTTACCTCTGGGTGAAAAGGAGCAGCAGGTGCAGGGGAAACATACCCAATGTTTCACCTGTCCCAGCTTCTCTACTTCTTGGCTCCGGGAGAAGAAAAGCTCTTGGAACCCATCTAAAGCACTCGTTATTTTTACCACACTGGCCACCTCCCACCGAGGTTGGGCAGCCAGAAAAGGAGGAAACACTCTTACTGTTATTCAATGACTCTTGCCAGAACAGTGCTAAAATTACAGTTCAGATGACTATCTGAACTGCAACAGCACTTGTCATGTAGCAAGTTAATGAGGTTTGCCCAAAGTGCACTGCGTGCTAGTGGCTTTCTTTTGTGCCTAACAATATAGCCTCTCCTCACTTAGCAATGTACTCATTTACTGATGCCTTGGGCTTACGATGGGCTCTCTGACCAGTATACATACCTAAATACACCTACCATCTGACTTACGACCGAGTTTGGTTCCGAGAAGCCAGTCGTAAGTCGAAATGGTCGTAAGTCGAATTTTACTACTGAATATCAACAAAACATTTTTGTAATGACTTTTGTTGTTTTATTTTGGTATTTCATGTTTTACTTTACGTTTTATGTTGTTAGTACTGTATTTTATATTGTAAGGTTTAGGATAAACACTGTGTACAACACAAATACATGTACTTGTTTATTTCCCAGAAATTTGGCATAAAAAACACGGTCGTAAGTCGAGCAGGTCGTAAGTCGAGCAGGTCGTAAGTCGAGCAGGTCGTAAGTCGAGCAGGTCGTAAGTCGAGCAGGTCGTAAGTCGAGCAGGTCGTAAGTCGAGCAGGTCGTAAGTCGAGCAGGTCGTAAGTCGAGCAGGTCGTAAGTCGAGCAGGTCGTAAGTTGAGCAGGTCATAAGTCGAGCAGGTCGTAAGTCGAGCAGGTCGTAAGTCGAGTGGTCGTAAGTCGAGCAGGTCGTAAGTCGAGCAGGTCGTAAGTCGAGCAGGTCGTAAGTCGAGCAGGTCATAAGTCGAGTGGTCGTAAGTCGAGTGGTCGTAAGTCGGATGGTAGGTGTAATGTATATTAGAGCTGATTTCCTCTATTCTGTTTAATACAATATACAGTACACTACTGTATAAACATTTAAAAATATACCAGAAATGTTATAAATGGTACAAAGGTGACATTAGAACAATATCAAAGATGGCTGACACAAACCCATTATAATATGTTCCTCACTTAGCAACGAATTCGTTTAACGACGTGGTCTTAGGAATGAAGCGTCGTCGTTAAGTGAGGAGAGGCTGTATTTTATCACTTGTACACCGCAGGTATACATTACTTGTATACTACTACAGAAAGAAGAAACAAAAGTCCTTCTTCATTTTATATTTAGTAATTTATACAGGAGAAGGCATTACTAGCCCCTTGCTGCTAGCATTTTAGTCATCTCTTATGTATGACTTATGCAGGAAGGATTCTAACCCACTTTTTAGTGGAGATTATTATTACCATTATTATTGTTATTATTTTTGCAG